TGCGGGTACTATTTAATGAAGCTGCCAGTTGAGGACCTGTGAGGCGTCTGTTTCTCAAACTAGACACTCTAATGTATTTGTCCTCTTGCTCAGTTGTGCACCGGGGCCTCCCACTCCTCTTTCTATTCTGGTTAGAGCCAGTTTACGCTGTTCTGTGAAGGGAGTAGTACACAGCGTTGTATGAGATCTTCAGTTTCTTGGCAATTTCTCGCATGGAATAGCCTTCATATCTCAGAACAAGAATAGACTGACGAGTTTCAGAAGAAAGTTCTTTGTTTCTGGCCATTTTGAGCCTGTAATCGAACCCACAATTGCTTATGCGCCAGATACTCAACTAGTCTCAAGAAGGCCAGTTTTATTGCTTCTTTAATCAGCACAACAGTTTTCAGCTGTGCTAACATAATTGCAAAAGGGTTTTCTAATGATCAATTAGCCTTTTAAAATGATAAACTTGGATTAGCAAACACAATGTGCCATTGGAACACAGGACTGATTGTTGCTGATAATGGGCTTCTGTACACCTATGTAGATATTCCATTAAAAATCAGCAGTTTCCAGCTACAATAGCGATTTACAACATTAACAATGTCTACACTGTATTTCTGATCAATTTGATGTTATTTTAATGGACAAAAAAATTGCTTTTCTTTCGAAAACAAGGACATTTCTAAGTGACCCCAAAATGTTGAATGGTAGTGTGTATATATATATATATATATATATATATATATATATATATATATATATATATATATATATATATGCTGTATATTGCGGACTCTGACATTGCTCGTTCTGATATTTTAGATTTTTGGATTATGTGTGGTATTGTCTTGTATAGCTAGGTATTACTACACTGTTGGAGGTAGAAACACAAGCTTTTCACTGCACCTGTGATAACATCTGCAAATCTGTGTACGCTAAACTTTGATTTGATTTCTACGGTGCAGACCAGAGTTATGTTGTTTATCTTGCTGGAGTCCTACAGCACATAGCGTGACACAAAGTCAAGGGTTCTCTTTAGCCTGACATTTCTACGATTTTAGAGCATGGCCCAATGATGTGTCAGCTTAATTCTTGTTGTTTTGATCTAGACTGACTCTGGTTGATTTTAGTATTAGGATTATGATATGTGAGTTGGATATTAAAGACCCTGTCCTCGAGATTTCCAGAACAAGTCCTCCTGAGTTTACTTAGATCCTGTCATATAGATTTAGGAATCTCCCATGATGTAGCTGCAATACTTTTTACATTTGTTTTTATCCTGGGAAATCTTAGATTGGCATTGAACCAACTGAACCAGACTGCACTGAATGTTATACTTATACTGCCCCCAAGTGGTTGTAAAAGGGCACAACCTTATTTAGAAAGTTAGGAAATGTCATCCGTGAACTAGCCACTACCAGAGGTGAATACTGTTACAACAAGTAGCTTTATCTGCTGGAAACAATGCTTCACAGCATTTTCCACCGTCATCTGATGAGCAAATGGAAGGGTTGACTCTATGACCCATTGACTCTATGTATGGTATAGGGTGGGGCCCATTGACTCTACGTATGGTATAGGGTGGGGCCCATTGACTCTACGTATGGTATAGGGTGGGGCCCATTGACTCTATGTATGGTATAGGGTGGGGCCCATTGACTCTACGTATGGTATAGGGTGGGGCCCATTGACTCTATGTATGGTATAGGGTGGGGCCCATTGACTCTATGTATAGAATAGGGTGGGGCCCATTGACTCTATGTATGGTATAGGGTGGGGCCCATTGACTACGTATGGTATAGGGTGGGGCCCATTGACTCTACGTATGGTATAGGGTGGGGCCCATTGACTCTACGTATGGTATAGAGTGAGGCCCATTGACTCTATGTATGGTATAGGGTGGGGCCCATTGACTCTACGTACATTGAGGGAAAAAAGTATTTGATCCCCTGCTGATTTTGTACGTTTGCCCACTGACAAAGAAATTATCAGTCTATAATTTTATTGGTAGTTTTATTTGAACAGTGAGAGACAGAATAACAACAACAAAAATCCAGAAAAACACATGTCAAAAATGTTATAAATTGATTTGCATTTTAATGAGGGAAATAAGTATTTGACCCCCTCTCAATCAGAAAGATTTCTGGCTCCCAGGTGTCTTTTATACAGGTAACGAGCTGAGATTAGGAGCACACTCTTAAAGGGAGTGCTCCTAATCTCAGCTTGTTACCTGTATAAAAGACACCTGTCCACAGAAGCAATCAATCAATCAGATTCCAAACTCTCCACCATGGCCAAGACCAAAGAGCTCTCCAAGGATGTCAGGGACAATATTGTAGACCTACACAAGGCTGGAATGGGCTACAAGACCATCGCCAAGCAGCTTGGTGAGAAGGTGACAACAGTTGGTGTGATTATTCGCAAATGGAAGAAACACAAAAGAACTGTCAATCTCCCTCGGCCTGGGGCTCCATGCAAGATCTCACCTCGTGGAGTTGCAATGATCATGAGAACGGTGAGGAATCAGCCCAGAACTACACGTGAGGATCTTGTCAATGATCTCAAGGCAGCTAGGACCATAGTCACCAAGAAAACAATTAGTAACACACTACGCCGTGAAGGACTGAAATCCTGCAGCGCCCACAAGGTCCCCCTGCTCAAGAAAGCACATATACATGCCCGTCTGAAGTTTGCCAATGAACATCTGAATGATTCAGAGGAGAACTGGGTGAAAGTGTTCTGGTCAGATGAGACCAAAATCGAGCTCTTTGGCATCAACTCAACTCACCGTGTTTGGAGGAGGAGGAATGCTGCCTATGACCCCAAGAACACCATCCCCACCGTCAAATATGGAGGTGGAAACATTATGCTAAGGAGACAGGACAACTTCACCGCATCAAAGGGACGATGGACGGGGCCATGTACCGCCAAATCTTGGGTGAGAACCTCCTTCCCTCAGCCAGGGCATTGAAAATGGGTCGTGGATGGGTATTCCAGCATGACAATGACCCAAAACACACGGCCAAGGCAACAAAGGAGTGGCTCAAGAAGAAGCACATTAAGGTCCTGGAGTGGCCTAGCCAGTCTCTAGTCCTTAATCCCATAGAAAATCTGTGGAGGGAGCTGAAGGTTCGAGTTGCCAAACGTCAGCCTCGAAACCTTAATGACTTGGAGAAGATCTGCAAAGAGGAGTGGGACAAAATCCCTCCTGAGATGTGTGCAAACCTGGTGGCCAACTACAAGAAACGTCTGACCTCTGTGATTGCCAACAAGGGTTTTGCCACCAAGTACTAAGTCATGTTTTGCAGAGGGGTCAAATACTTATTTCCCTCATTAAAATGCAAATCAATTTATAACATTTTTTACATGTGTTTTTCTGGATTTTTTTGTTGTTATTCTGTCTCTCACTGTTCAAATAAACCTACCATTAAAATTATAGACTGATCATTTCTTTGTCAGTGGGCAAACGTACAAAATCAGCAGGGGATCAAATACTTTTTCCCCTCACTGTATGTTATAGGGAGGAACCAGATGCTGTCAGGCGTCAAGTCAGATTTTTTGTGCCACACCCATCTGAAAATTGGGAACACATAGTTCTATTTTCTGTAGCATTCCTCCTCTGAATTAGCCTATTTACACATGCCTTTTCTGTAGTTATGGAACTGTCAATCTCTCAACTCATAATTTAAATGACACTAAGAGGAGATTTAGATTGATGTGCTTTTACAGACGGCTACATTGTCTTGACCCTTGTAAAAACAAAATGGGGCCTAACCGCTCTCTCTGCTATGGTCACATTTTGACCAGGGTTACATTTTGCCATGGGCATCTGCAGCAAAACTCCATAGTAATCATTGATTTTCTTTTCTATGGGAGTGACAGCGTGTTGTGTGCCGTGTCAATTTGCTCTGTTCAGACTGTATATGAACACTGTGTTCTACATATTTGAACCAGGCTTACCAGGCTCTCAAAAACAAATTGACACATTAAAAACATTACCAGTTATACTGGTATACTAGTATACAACAAAGTGCTATCTTGAACCTAAAAGGGTTCTTTGGCTGTCCCAATAGGATAACCCTTTGAAGAACCCTTGTTGGTTCCAAGTAGAACCCTTTTGGTTCCAAGTAGAACCGTTTTGGATTCCATGTAGAACCCTTTCCACAGAGGGTTCTACATGAAACCCAAAATGGTTCTACCTGGAACCAAAAAAGGTTATCCTATGGGGACAGCCAAAGAGCCCTTTTGTACCCTTTTTTCTAAGAGTGTAGAATCATGTAAGCCTAAAGCTTTTTGTCAGTCTCGTTTGACAGCAGTCAATGACCTAAGCATACTGTACACACCTGTACTCTCCTTTTACGGTACTTTGCATTGCGTGATCTCAATGCTCAGGTGAAGTCACATTCCATAACATGTTGGAACAGAACGAACCCGAAACTGTTTGCCTGAAAACAGGGATAACTCCTCGTAGCATGGCTGCACCCATTCAGTCTGTACTCCTCTGTTTCAATATGGAATGTTTTCGATGTAGTGTGTTGTACAGGGGAAGAGGCTGCTATCTCTATACCTGTCTCATCCCCCCTGCCAAAAAATACCCCAGCCTCACTTTCCAATTCCTGTTTTCTGTTTTCTTTTCTGTGCCTCTTTTTTTTTCATTGCCTTGTTCAGTCCCCTCTAGTGGATCTGTCAATAAACCAGTTATGGCAATGACGTGTGGAATGTTTCATTACCTTGCCCCAGGGCAATATACAGTTCACTACCCATGCCTCTTTTCCACTCCTGTTCACACCCTCTCTCTCTCTCGGATTCTTTCCCTCTCTGTTTGTTCCTGTCCTATTCAGACGAAGCCTGCTGTGTTCCCTTGCTGTCTGTACTGCTGTTGAGGGAGGAGTAGAGCTGTGCAGGATTGAGCGGGACAATGTATGACAGCGTAGAACAGTCTAGGGCTGTGTAGGGCTGTGTTAGGGCTGTGTAGGGCACGAGGGTTATTGTGCTGGCAGAGGTAGGGCTCTCCCATGGCCTACCCTCAGTGCCCGGCCCCTGGGTCCTACACCATGGTCATCATCCCTCTCCGGAGCAGCCTCTACAGCCTTGAAGCCCTGCGCTTCTACCTCTGGGTGAGACCTGTGAGTGGGTTAGATATGTGTGTGTGTGTGTGTGTTGATGTGAATGTGTGTGTATGTGTATGTGTGTGTTGATACTTATCAGGGCTTCAGTTTGACAGATTCAAAGGTAGAATATGCTCGCGTGACTGACTGACATAGTAACTGTACTGTACAGTATGTTCCGTATATTACCAAAGTCAGTTGATCAAGACAGGAAGTCGTTGCGTGCATTTCACATGGGCTTATTTTACATAGGATTATGTAGAAAACTGTAGTTGTGATTATAGATATTCAGTGTCTGTTCAACATGAAATGAGGGAGGGAGTTACAATGAGGTAATCAATTCCAAACGTTGTAAACACAAGCTATTGTATTGAGTTGGTGTTGAGTGACACCAGCCATAGTAGCCCCCAGCTTCCATCTGGAGCTTCATTACACACATAAGCCCACACAGTTACATTTAGTCATTGCTTAAAACTACTCTACTCACTCCTTGTTTCATGAGGTAGTTATAGTTTCATGGATACAGATCCATGTTTTGTCTTCTACGTCAGAGCAGCATGACTCCATTGCAGCAGCCACCCTGATGACACATTCCCACATGTTTAGTCCATCTCCTCACAGCTTCCTGGCAAAAGCCTAAAGATAGATTTTCCATATCCAACAAAACATACTTGTAGCTATACCGACTTCCTTTTCCAATACAAATCTCCTATATGGAAAAGAAAGCAAATTGAATTTGAATGTTGATTATGATAGTAAATGATAATAAATCTCTCTTCTTGTTGTTTCAGATTAAGAGGCTGAAGGACTTAGAAAGGGAGAAGGACTCTCTATGGGCCGGGCTGCAGGTTCTGGAGCAGGCCCGGCTCTGGTACCGACACAGACTGGAGGACAACAGAGCCAGGCAGGCTAACGTGGGCACCAGGGCTGGGGCTAGGGCAAAGGAGCGTGGAGGAGAGGTGAGTTACTACAGTGAGATGGAGACTGTTTTACGCAGATAGACATAGATACATGCCCCGTGTAGCTCAGTTGGTAGAGCATGGCGCTTGCAACGGCAGGGTTGTGGGTTCGATTCCCACGGGGGGCCAGTATGAAAACATTTATGCACTCACTAACTGTAAGTCGCTCTGGATAAGAGCGTCTGCTAAATGACGAAAATGTAAATACAGAACTTGGCAAATTGTTCTCCATGTTGGCACCAAACAATAAAATGAGCAGTCTAACTAGAATTTAATATGGGAATTTGATGCCTTGGAAACTCAAGCTGAGCTTCCAAACTCTGTATATCTGTGTCTTTACAAGCAAACAAGTGTTGTTAAACCATCCTGTTGATTTTAAACATATCACTTCTCATTACTCTGTACAGGGGGCGTCATCGTGCCTCCTGAGGTCTCAGATCCAGAGGGTGAATGGATCTTTGGGTAGTCTGATGAGTGAGCCCAACGTAACCAGCTGTCCCTCGTCTCCAAAGAGGGACGGGGTAGAGGTATCAGACAGTGAGCTACGGTGGCAGAACACAGTACTGGTACAGGTGAGAGAGAACATCTTTATCCTTGATCTCCAACCCTGGTCTTGGAGAGCTACAGGGTGTGTTGGCTTGTTTATTTCACAGCCTAGCACTAAAGCATCCTACTTCAGATCTTTTGCTTCATGTTGGTGGGTGGGTAGAAGAGGTAATTTTTCCAATGTTTTATTTTGGCAGGAGGTGAGTGAGAAGAATCTTCAAATCTCACTGTTGGAGCTGGAGAGAGACAGACTTTTGCAAGAGCTGAGTGTGCATCTGGGTGTAGAAATGTAGTGGGCATCCTGACTGAATTATTTCCCATGTTTGTACACTGCTATCCAGCCCATTTCACTGCTATCACACATGAACACACACACGACTGAGCACTGCTTCATAACTCTTCAACAAAAGTTATTCCAATCAATGTCATGATTTCATTGTCTCTCACCACTGTAAATATGTTTGTCAAATAATCATTTAATATACTGTATGTACAAAGACTATGAGTGTGTTATTGTCTCATTGTCTTATTCAGTTCTGTTGAATGGTTTTCTGAATAACCAGACTGATATGTAGGATAATCTCATAATCTCTGTCTGTCTCTCATTACCTCAGGCTCAACCTCACCTTCCAAACTGTCATGTAAATGCCAAGTGGTTTTAGCTTAGTTATGTATGTCTGTCTATTGGTCATGCACCACCTGTGAAACACAGAGCAACACCAAACCTCCCCAGAAGGGGGCAGTAGACCCTCAGCTATGGTGAAAGGTGAAGGTGAAGGTGAATTCAGCATGCATATGCTGCAGTTAAAAATCTACAATCAGAACATAAGCAGAGAGACAAACTATAATATTTAGATGATTGTCCAGTTATATGATTTAGTTTAAAGAGATTTAAAAGACCATCTATGCCTCCAAGAACACTGCAATCTGGTACACCAACTCCTTGTGCAGAATATTTATCTCTGGGCAGTAGCCAGTACCCAGCCAGCACCCTGTACCTTCCTCTCTGTCACCGTTCATCAGTGTTCACATTTCCGCCCCAGGCCTGGGAGGTTTCTGTCGATACACGTTACCGCTCCTCCGCTGGTGGTCCCTCACTGATGTTACCTCAGCTGATAAGACTTATCTAGCCTCCCTATCACTGACACATAGCTGGCTCACACACGCACACACACCTCACAAGGATAAACACACTTAGGCAGCCATGCCCTGCAGTCCATCTATTTGCACAAACACTATCAGACTAAATATAATTCCCCTATTTCATTCAGTATGGTGTGGCTGTATGCTGGCTTTTATGGGCTATCATGAACAGGAGCTTTGGGTATACTAGTGCAGTCTACTATATGGCAGCAGGCCTATTTATCTAACGTTCTAGTACTTCCTTGTTATGTTTTCTTCCTACTCCTGTTTTCATTGTTCATGCCATCTTCTGGAGATGTGGACCAATAATCTTGTTGTGGGTGATCTTCATCAGATAGAGAGAATGGTGGTGTCATTGTCCCCCAGAGAGTGTTTATCCTGTGCCGATACTTGCCTAGTGTCTCTGCTCACTTGTTTGGCCCAGAGAAGTGATGTTGCTGTTGTTTGTCTGTGTTTGGAATGATACATATCCCACCAAAGATTTATAGTAATCCCACACTGAGAGCGAGAGAGGCAGGGGACTGGGATGGACATACCCATGTACTACACATTTACCAAGGTACATATAATGTCCTATCATTGGCCAAAGCGTTCAGATTATGACGACTGCCTGAAACTCACATTTGAAAAGCACCTATTGGACTGAGAGAGGAGGCTTGCTCAGTCAGCTTGGACAAGGAAAGTTGAATGCTACTGAATTGTCACACCAACACATCAAATGCAGTATGTTACACATAGGTGTACATTTCTTTGGCCAAACAATAATGATAAAATCTATTTTGCATTGGATTGCATTCATAAATATAACCACATCCAAACCCTTTGTAACTACAAGAAAAATATAAATTGCACCGCACTAGTAGGCAAGCAAGGAATGTGTTTGACTGTGATTAAAATCTCAGTGAGAAAAAGAAAACATCCATTACAGAACATGCTTTCATATAAGTAGCTCCTGTTCCCTCTCTACAGACTGCCACTGAACCATCAAAACCAGGGTACCAGCACTCGGCTAATTATTGGGTCTAATTCACACTGCAGAGCCAAACAACCTTTTATTGAGGATGTCATGCTTCTATGACACTGACAATCATTCTTCCTTGCCAGCATGGTTCATTGACTTTCAACTCTGCTGGTCTCCCATTCAATCTATCCTGTACCCAACCTGTTGTGATTTTTTTTCTTCTTCTGGGGTTTTCCTAGAGATGTATTGATTTGTATCTATGATTTTCCTAGGATATACGTGCACCCACTTCCCTGCAGGTCTGTAGTGGTGTGAAATGTAAACAAATAAATAGTTGGATGGCTTCCTCTCGGGTGCTGAGGGTTTTTAATGCATTCCACAGACTATTAGGATGGAGAACTTCCTGCACACCCTCAGATGGTTACTAGCTTTGAAGTACTCAGGAAGTCTAATAGACTTTGCTGGGGGTCTAAATGAATCTATAACATCGCCAAGATGTTTTTATCTCCAATATGTATTACAGTAAAACAGTAGTGTTGTGTTTGCATCAACAAAGTCCTGTGTAGTTTATTTTCTTGGCTGCCTGGCAATATCAGATAATGGATGTGTTAGTTTTTGACAACTGGATAATGGTGTCCATTTTATTAACAAAATGATACTGAAAATACTGTACATCCTCTTTTAATACTTGTTGTAATACAGTGTCCCCAAAGGGCACCATACAAAGAAAACAAGTGTCACTTGTCATCACTGCCAAAGATTATGCTAAAATTAATTTTTAAAAGTGTCAAAAGTTTAAATCATCCGCACATAATAAAGTGTGATAGATATTAACCTATTAGTCAGTGTATAGTGTAAACAGACGTGAGACACACACTTCCGATGGATACATCACTCCAGGCTCTCCTGTCATCAAGGCATTGATGTTCAGGCCTACTCTCCCCTGGACTGAGTTCAAATGCTGAAAGGATGGATGACTCAAATCAACTTGCTTTCAGTCCATCACATCAGTGTCAAATAGCTGAGGATTAAACATTATTCATTCTCTCAAAAAAAAAGTTTGGGGATTTTTTCCCAATCATTTTACTGGCATACTGAGTCACTGACACAATTGAAAATGTCAAAAGGAATATAGATCTACACAATTATATCTGTAGTGGCCTGTTTTCAAGAGTGATGAGATGACACTGTATATGTACAATGCAGTGCAAACCACTTACTGTACCTATGCAAAATACATTTGGGTTAAGGTCATTCTAAGCCTCACACTGGTTTACAAAGGCAAACAAAGATACCCTCATGCCTGGGGCATTTAGCAGACACTCTTATTCAGAACGACTTACAGTTAGTGAGTGCATACATTTTTCATACTGGCCCCCCGTGGGAAACAAACCCACAATCCTGGCATTGCAAGCGCCATGCTCTACCAACTGAGCTACAGGGGACCTATCTCCATGAGAGAAACATTGTGCAACTTTTAACCTGATTTATTTTATTTAACTTATATTTAACCAGGGAAAAACACATTGAGACCTATGTTTCACTTGCAAATGTGCCCTGGGAATAATACAGAAAAGAAAATTATACACAATTTTAAACACAAAATTAAATAAATAGCTAATATTATATAGACAATAAACAATCAAACAAAACAAACACATTTATCAATATAAAAATCCCTAGCCTTTCTCTTAAACTGACCCTGAGACAACAACACATCCAAATGAAACGTTACTTGGAGATTATTCCACATGATAGGGGCCTGGTAGGAAAAAGCAGATTTAGCCAACTGTGGATACAGGTGGAGTCTCCAGCATTAACCAACCCTGTGATCTAGTGTTGTAATCCGAGTTTCTATATTTCAACAATGATGTTAAATAAATTGGTAGTTTATTGAGTAAGGCTTTATAAACAAACACAGAAAAATGAAGTGAACTACGTGTTTTTAGCGAGGTCCAACCAACTTTATAAAGGATGCAGTGGTGAGTGTCAAAACTGTCAGATGTTATAAAACGAAGTGTGCTATGATATATTGTGTCCAATGGCTTCAAAACACTGGTAGCTGCATTCATGTATATAATATCGCCATAATCTATAACAGGAATGATTGTAGACTGAATTATCTGTTTTCTACTAGTTAATGAAAGGCAAGCCCTAATCCTTTAGAAGAAGCCCAACTTAATTCTTAATTTCTTGACTAATTTAGTATATGATAGCAGGCTTTACAGAGTCCACGGTGTTCATTGTCAAAATGCACTGTCTTGTTACTTTTTGTCAAAATCAAGTGATCAAAATGTTAATTGAAATTAATGATAGAGTACACAGCTCATGAATATAACTCTCATGTCAATTTCTCTGACCAAACCTCAACAAGGATAGCATAAAGTGATATGAAATACAGTTAATTCGTTTTACACAGTTCTAGAAACTGTCGCTGTTCTTTGATTCGCCGTCGCTGTTGCATTCTGTCATCTTTGGCACCGGCGCACCGCTGCGCATCTCTCCAGCTGACATTTCAACTATCCCACCACCACTGGACAAGTTGACATCTAACAGACTCTGCAAGTGTTTTATGTAGTATATTGCAGCACGCAGTGTCTCCACTTTGCTGAGTCTTTTGTCCTCGAACTCTTGGGGAAGATGCTCCTGGAGACGTGCGTAACCCTCGTTTACGCAGCGCACTCGCTGCCGTTCCCTTTCGTTCCTTTTTCGAATGAATGCTGGTTCGAATGAATAGTCATATACACCGATGTGGCTGTGGAATGGGAAATATGAGAGACTCCCTGAGAATCTCTGACCGTACACAGGATCCAGGTAGGTTGTTGTGTCCAGGGGAAAGGGCAGTCCAAACGTGTCCTTGTAGTGCGCGATCTGGTGATCCATTGAGAGGCCGAGCGCTATGGGTCTGACATATGGCATGCGCTCAAATAATCCCTTATTGTGGTCCGACATCTCTCTGCAAAGAAAAAAATAATTTAGGGTTGAATTATGCTTATGATATAGGCTATTCATTATAACACAAAACTCTTTGATTATCCTATAAATCATGGAAACTATTATTTTAATTTTCCCAACACCCAAAAGCCTTCAAAATTACAGTGTAAAATGCATGGCACAGACTAGAACATTTCCATTAATTCATAACCTGAACTTACCTCCTCACAGAGTCTTCATAATCATCTCTCATCATGCGTTCTCCTTTCCCCGTTTATGTTCGTTTATGGAAGTATGCAGGTGAAACTGTAACCTGTTAGAAAATAAGTTGTCACATCCCCATTCTCTCTGTCTGTGACAGTCTCTAGTTTTTGTTGGTTATCATGCCAGGTGGGTGTGATCCTAAACTGGGCGGAGAGAAAGAGATATGCAACCCTTTCTCTCAAGACAAAACTACAGTATGCTATGTATAGGAGTAGACATGTATTACTGAAAAAACGGAATAATTGGGGATATACAGTTGAAGTCGGAAGTTCACATTAGCCAAATATATTTAAACTCGGTTTTTCACAATTCCTGACATTTAATCCTAGTAAAAATTACCTGTCTTAGGTCAGTTAGGATCACCACTTTATTTTAAGAATGTGAAATGTCAGAATAATAGTAGAGAGAATGATTTCTTTCAGCTTTTATTTCTTTCATCGCATTCCTAGTTGGTCAGAAGTTCCCAACACTCAATTAGTATTTAGTAGCATTGCCTTTAAATTGTTCTATTTTTGTTTCATCAAACCAGAGGACATTTCTTCAAAAAGTACTATCTTTGTCCCCAAGTGCAGTTGCAAACCATAGTCTGGCTTTTTCATGGCGGTTTTGGAGCAGTGGCTTCTTCCTTGCTGAGTGGCCTTTTGTGGATATAGATACTTTTGTACCTGTTTCGTCCAGCATCTTCACAAGGTCCTTTGCTGTTGTTATGGGATTGATTTGTACTTCTTCCTGAGCGGTATGATGGCTGCGTGGTCCCATGGTGTTTATACTTGCTTACTATTGTTTGTAAAGATGAACTTGGTACCTTCAGGCGTTTGGAAATTGCTCCCAAGGATGAACCAGAGTTGTGGAGGTCTACAATTATTTTTTTCCTGAGGTCTTGCTGATTTCTTTTGATTTTCCCATGATGTCAAGCAAAGAGGCACTGAGTTTGAAAGTAGGCCTTGAAATACATCCACAGGTACACCTCCAATTGACTCAAATGATGTCAATTAGCCTATCAGAAGCTTCTAAAGCCATGACAACATTTTCTGGAATTTTCCAAGCTGTTTAAAGGCACAGTCAGTTTAGTGTATGTAAACTTCTGACCCACTGGAATTGTGATACAGTGAATTATAAGTGAAATAATCTGTCTGAAAACAATTGTTGGAAAGATTACTTGTGTCATGCACAAAGTAGATGTCCTAACCGACTTGCCAAAACTATAGTTTGTTAACAATAAATTTGTGGAGTGGTTGAAAAACGAGTTTTAATGACTGTAAACTAAGTGATTGTAAACTTCCGACTTCAACTGTACTTTTGACAGCAAAGTGATAGGGATAGTGGGAGATGGAGATAGAACTGTCAAACAAAAGCCATGTCTAATTTGCATATTGAATAAGCATCTAAGTCAATTCACTTAAGTTACATTTACAAAGTCATGGAACTGTGTAGGCCAAAAACCTTTTTGTCAGGGTCCGTGATAAAATTGAAAAACAGAGAGGCTTTGGCAAATGACCTTAAATTTTCGTCCTGCAGCGCTGCTTCTTGCTTGCGCATGCTCAGTGTGTCACGCTGTCATGGACCCGAACAGAGAGGAAGCCTTTTGGTATGTTAGCTTTTCTTTTCTTAAAATTTTCACTTATTGTATGCTACGTTTTTATCTATTGCATGAATATACAACATCACAGCATTGTCTTTGAGTCGTTAACGTGAGCTATACGCTCAAATAGGGATTGTAACGTTTGTTAAATTAAATTGTTAGTTTTGATTCTCGTTAACTAGCTAACGTTAATGTTAGCTAGCTATTCTTAGCAAGCTAGCTAGCTAGATAGATAGCCAGCTAACTACATTACGAATGGTATTAATTTGGCTAAAAGGTGCAATGTGCACTAATTTAAGTTTGTGACAAAACAAACAATAGATAGTGTAGAGAATACTTTTTCCATCCAAACCGCTGTGAAATGTATTTTCATTAAACCAAAAATATTGTGCATTCAGCTGTTTGAAGCTGGTGTACAACACCGAAAGTTAAATTGTTTTATCTTAGACTTGCTTTCAATGAGAATGACAGATCTATAAGTGAAATTACTATATGAATTTGGTTGGGTCGCCCAAGAAGTTCTCGAGTGGCGCAGTGGTCTAAGGCACTGCATCGCAGTGCTAGCTGTGTCACTAGAGATCCTGGTTCGAATCCAGGCTCTGTCGTAGCCGGCCGCGACCGGGAGACCCATTGGGCGGCGCACAATTGGCCCAGCGTAGGGGAGGGAATGGCGGGCAGGGATGTACAGTGAGGGAAAAAGGTATTTGATCCCCTGCTGATTTTGTACGTTTGCCCACTGACAAAGAAATGATCAGTCTATAATTTTAATGGTAGGTTTATTTGAACAGTGAGAGACAGAATAACAACAAAAAAATCCAGAAAAACGCATGTCAAAAATGTTATAAATTGATTTGCATGTTAATGAGGGAAATAAGTATTTGACCCCTCTGCAAAACATGACTTAGTACTTGGTGGCAAAACCCTTGTTGGCAAATCACAGAGGTCTGACGTTTCTTGTAGTTGGCCACCAGGTTTGCACACATCTCAGGAGGGATTTTGTCCCACTCCTCTTTGCAGATCTTCTCCAAGTCATTAAGGTTTCGAGGCTGACGTTTGGCAACTCGAACCTTCAGCTCCCTCCACAGATGTTCTATGGGATTAATGTCTGGAGACTGTCTAGGCCTCACCAGGACCTTAATGTGCTTCTTCTTGAGCCACTCCTTTGTTGCCTTGGCCGTGTGTTTTGGGTCATTGTCATGCTGGGATACCCATCCACGACCCATTTTCAATGCCCTGTCTGAGGAAGGAGGTTCTCACCCAAGATTTGACGGTACATGGCCCCGTCCATCGTCCCTTTGATGCGGTGAAGTTGTCCTGTCCCCTTAGCAGAAACACCCCCAAGGCATAATGTTTCCACCTCCATGTTTGACGGTGCAGATGGTGTTCCTCCTCCTCCAAACACGGCGAGTTGAGTTGATGCCAAAGAGCTCCATTTTGGTCTCATCTGATCACAACACTTTCACCCAGTTCTCCTCTGAATCATTCAGATGTTCATAGGCAAACTTCAGACGGTCATGTATATGTGCTTTCTTGAGCAGGGGGACCTTGCGGGCGTTGCAGGATTTCAGTCCTTCACGGCATAGTGTGTTACCAATTGTTTTCTTGGTGACTATGGTCCCAGCTGCCTTGAGATCATTGACATGATCCTCCCGTGTAGTTCTGGGCTGATTCCTCACCGTTCTCATGATCATTGCAACTCCCTGAGGTGAGATCTTGCATGGAGCCCCAGGCCGAGGGAGATTGACAGTTATTTTGTGTTTCTTCCATTTGCGAATAATCGCACCAACTGTTGTCACCTTCTCACCAAGCTGCTTGGCAATGGTCTTGTAGCCCATTCCAGCCTTTTGTAGGTCTACAATCTTGTCCCTGACATCCTTGGAGAGCTCTTTGGTCTTGGCCATGGTGAAGGGTTTGGAATCTGATTGATTGCTTCTGTGGACAGGTGTCTTTTATACAGGTAACAAACTGAGATTAGGAGCACTCCCTTTAAGAGTGTGCTCCTAATCTCAGCTCGTTACCTGTATAAAAGACACCTGGGAGCCAGAAATCTTTCTGATTGAGAGGGGGTCAAATACTTATTTCCCTCATTAAAATGCAAATCAGTTTATAACATTTTTGACATGCATTTTTCTGGATTTTTGTTGTTGTTATTCTGTCTCTCACTGTTCAAATAAACCTACCATTAAAATTATAGACTGATCATTTCTTTGTCAGTGGGCATACGTACAAAATCAGCAGGGGATCAAATACTTTTTCCCCTCACTGTAGCTTAGTTGGTAGAGCATGGCGTTTGCAACGCCAGGGTTGCGAGTTCCCACAGGGGGCCAGTATGAAAAAAATAAAAAAATAAAATGTATGCACTCACTCGGTATAAGAGCTTCTGCTAAATGACTAAAATGTAAATGTAAGTTACATATTGCATACTTTGTTGATAGGGTCTCAGGTCAGTGGCTCTGATTTGGGACTGTAACATGTTCTATGAAATAGATATCTTGTTGTTAGCGAGCTAACTCATGCATTGTGTCATATTTTGCAACATGTTTTGGTGAATGTGACATGAAGCAAATTGATGATTGATCTCTGTGTCTATCCACTTTAGCCGGCAGAATGGACACATTTCACAGTATCTTGGATGAGCACACACTGCCGAAGTCAGGTATCCAACCACTGTGATAGACTATCCACACACATGTAATGTTTTTTTTAGTCAGCCTCAAATGGGATATTACACAACTTTTTCTAACACCTTAGACGTTTGTTGATTCCCCTCCAGAATGAATGACATGAACCTCAGCCCTGTTGGGATGGACCAGTTAAGTGTGCCCTCTGTGAGTGCCAGTCATCTGGGTCTACCCACCTCCCCAAACCCACAACCCCATCACTACACCAGGTAAAACACATTAACTTATCTGGTAAAACTATATTTTTCTTATATTGTTTACATATTTACTGTAAATATAGTTGATTGATACATTCATTTTGTCCTCCTTTTCTTCAGGCATGTCTGTTGGCAATACCCAGCCTGGGGCCCTCTCTTGGGTCTCTGCCCTCTGCTCTGTCGCTCATGCTGCCAATGGGTCCTCTTGGTGACAGAGGGGTCATGTGTGGCCTTCCAGAGAGGAACTACTCATTACCTCCTCCCCCCTACCCACACCTGGAGAGTAGCTACTTCAGACACATACTGCCAGGTAGGGCTGAGCACTTCTCTTAACCACTGAATGTAATCTCCATTGTATCTCTCATGGATATCTTTAGGATTCATAATATTACACCATGAGATGTTAACTGATCTATATGTACGTGGAATGGAAAGGATTTGTCTTTCTCTCTATCAAGGTATCCTGTCTTACCTGGCAGACCGGCCTCCCCCTCAGTACATTCACCCCAGCAGTCTTAACATGGACGGGACTCTCTCTGTGTCCAGCCAGAACCCCTCAGGGCTGGACCCTTACAGTGGCCCTGGAGGGCCTCTGGAACAAGGCCTGGTGTCCCTGGACTCCCGTCAGGTCGGTGGCCAGGACGACCTCCACCAGGGTGGGGGCCACGAGGTGCAGCTGGACTCCACAGGGCTGAACATGGAGTCCCGAGTCAGCAGCCCCATTTCCCCAGACAGGATGGGAGAGGAGCTGGCCAACATGGAGGGGTGTGGTGGGGCCTGAGAACCAGCACCAACTGGGAGGGAGAGGCCAGAACCACGAAGGCCTGGGAAGAGTTGAGTCCTCTGGGGGCGTGATGCCCCTGCACGGGCCTGGCCTTGGAGCTTCCCGTGGGGATGGAGCCAGAGCACCTAGGGGGCCGGGTGGGGAACTCAGGGGGGAGGGGGTCTGGGGAGCGTCTTTACACGGCTCAGGGGAGCTGAACTCTGGGGTGGTGAGTGTGGTGCTCACCCAGTCCCAGCTAGAGCCCGTGTCCCTCCATGGTCATTCGGGCATGGGCCTAGAGCCAGCCAACGTGTCTCCCATCACGGCAGAGGTGTCCCTGGGGCCAGAGAACAGCCTGTTGCTGGTCAATTCCACCCTGCAGCTGGAGGACTCCACCTCCAACAAGGAGAACATGGTCACTGCCTTCACCGTCTGTGAGTAAAAGGGAAGGATGGCGGACATTTTGGTTTGTAAGGGAAATTTGAGCTTGGTAATATATAAAGCTATACTAGCTTACTGTTGTTCTGTTCTCGTGATCCATTGGAAGTCTTTGAACTTCTGATCTGTATATCTTTGTCCTAACTTGTTTTATTGTGTTTGTGAACAGGGTGTACGCTGTGTGAGCACTCGTATCCCTCTGACTGCCCAGAGCACGGCCCAGTCACCTTTATCCCTGACACGCCCATCCAGAGCAGAGCCCGTCTGTCTCTGCCTCGCCCGCTCTGCCTCCGCATCTCTGTAGCTGACGATCCTTTAGGTATGGAAACCCCTGTGGAGATGCAAGTTCACTTCCAATGTCCTGTTTCTCTCAATCTGTGTCCTGTGTCCTTTCAGTCTTATTGCTTATACACTGAGTGTATAAACATTAAGAAAACCTTCCTAATATTGAGTGATCAGAATGGCCTCAATTCGTCAGGGCATGGACTCTACAAGGTGTCAAGTGTTCCACAGTGATGCTGGCCCTTGTTGACTGCAATGCTTTCCACATGGTTGTGTCAAGTTGGACTGGCTGTCCTTTGGGTGGTGGACCATTCTTGATACACACGGGAAACTGTTGAGCGTGAAAAACCCAGCAGCGTTGCAGTTATTGACACAAACTGGTGCTCCTGGCACCTACTACCATACCCTGTTCAAAGGCACTTCAATATTTACCCTTTGAATGGCACACATACACAATCCATGTCTCAATTGTATCAAGGCTTAAAAATCCTTCTTTAACCTGTCTCCTCCCCTTCATCTACACTGATATTTTCTCATTTTCTCTCTCATGAGGAGGGAGGATAATTAAAGTTCACCGAAGTAACAAGTAAAGGTAGACCTATTAATTAGTTAATATTTTGTTAATGAATTATTAAGTGATTAAAACTCAAAAGTTCCGTTACCAAATTGGTAAGAACACCTCCACATCGCTGATCCTCAACACAGGGGCCCCACAACGGTGCGTGCTCAGCCCCCTCCTGTACTTCCTGTTCACCCATGATTGCGTGGCCACACACGCCTCCAACTCAATCATCAAGTTTGCAGACGACACAACAGTAGTAGGCCTGATTACCAACAATGACGAGACAGCCTACAGTGAAGGCCCTGGCGGAGTGGTGCCAGGAAAACAGCCTCTCCCTCAACGTCAACAAAACAAAGGAGCTGATCGTGGACTTCAGGAAACAGCAGAGGGAGCATGTCCCTATCCACATCGACGGGACCACAGTGGAGAAGGTGAAAAGCTTCAAGTTCCTCAGCGTACACATCACTGACAATCTGAAATGGTCGACCCACACAGACAGTGTGATGAAGAAGGCACAACAGCGCCTCTTCAACCTCAGGAGGCTGAAGAAATTGGGCTTGGCCCCAAAGAACCTCACAAACTTTTACAGATGCATAATTGAGAGCATCCTGTCGGGCTGTATCACCGCCTGGTACGGCATCTGCACCGCCCGCAACCGCATGGCCCTCCAGAGGGTGGTGCGGTCTGCCCAACGCATCACTGAGGATACACTGCCTGCCCTCCAGGACACCTACAGCACCCGATGTCACAGGAAGGCCAAAAAGATCATCAAGGACATCAACCACCTGAGCCACGGCCTGTTCACCCCGCTATCATCCAGAGGGCGAGGTCAGTACAGGTGCATCAAAGCTGGGACTGAGAGACTGAAAAACAGTTTCTATCTCAAGGCCATCAGAATGTTAAATAGCCATCACTAGCCGGCTACCACCTGGTTACTCAACCCTGCACCTTAGAGGCTGCTGCCCTATATACATAGACATGGAATCACTGGCCACTTTAATAATGGAACACTAGTCACTTTAATAATGTCTACATACTGTTTTACTCATGTCATATGTATATACTGTATTCTATCCTACTATATAGGGGCGGCAGGTAGCTTAGTGGTTAAGAGCGTTGTGCCAGTAACCGAAATCCCAGAGCCGACTAGGTGAAACATCTGTCGATGTGCCCTTGAGCAAGGCACTTAACCCTAATTGCTCCTGTAAGTCGCTCTGGATAAGAGCGTCTGCTAAATGACTAAAATGTAAATGTATATTTTAGTCAATGCCACTCCGACCTTGCTCGTCCTAATATTTATATATTTCTTAATTCCATTATTTTACTTTTAGAATTGTGTGTATTGTTGTGAATTGTTAGATACTACTGCACTGTTGGAGCTAGGAACACAAGCATTTCACTACACCCGCAATAACATCTGCTAAATATGTGTATGTGACCAATACAATTTGATTTGATTTGAACTATACTATACTTTGTTGTACTCTACTGTACTGAACTCTACTGTACTGAACTATACTCTACTTTACTGTACTCTGAACTCTACTGTGCTGTACTGAACTCAACTGTGTTTGGCATACATTTTAAGTGAAAAATCTTAGTCTCAGCACAATTCCGTTACTGCCCAATCAAAAACAACATATAGCTTGTTTGCCCCTCATCAATATCTCTATAAGTGTGTGTGTGTGTCTCTTAGGAGTGTTTGCCCGGGACATCATTCCTCCCAGGACCTGCTTTGGGCCCCTGGTGGGACAGCACTGTAGCAACATAGACCTGCAAGACTGGCCAGACAAGGACACCCCTCAGATATGGAAGGTCAGTGGCTTATACTATACACATCTCCTCATTTAGATTTCAGATGACCTTATAATAGAATTTCATGTGTCAATCAAATGTAAATTATGCAGATGAAGGAAGGCACCATTCTGACTAGTAGATGGTGGTGTTGTTTCAGATGTTTCACAACAACGTGCTGGAGTTCTGTATTGTGACCACAGATGAGAATGAATGCAACTGGATGATGTTTGTCCGCAAGGCAAGGTAATTATCACTTAGTGAAGCCACCTCATGGATTTGCATCAATGTTATTATCTTGTATCCAAAATGGCTTCCACTCAGATCTGTGGTGTCTCTGTGAGCAGGACCAGAGAGGAGCAGAACCTGGTGGCCTACCCCGACAACGGGAAGCTGTTCATCTGCACATCCACTGAGATCCTCCCAGACCAGGAGCTGCTCTTCTACTACACCAGGGACTACTGCAGGCAGATGGGGGTCCCTCAGGTCCCAGAGGGCCAGGTGTGCCAGTGCGGCAAAGAGTGCCAGTCCTTCGCCGAGCTGAAGTCCCATCTGAGCAGCCACAACAACCACGGCCACCCCCATTCCCACAGCCCCAGCCAGGACCACCACCAGGACCACCACCAGGAGGGCAAGCTACCCAGCGGTACCTCCAGCTCCTCCTCATCCCCTTGGGCCTGCCACTCCCACAACAGCAGCCACTCTAATAACACTAATAACTCTGGCTCCAACACACACTCACACAGACACTCGCTTGAGAGGAAGTACAAGTGCAGTATGTGCTCGCGGGCCTTCACCACGTCCACTAAGCTCAACGTGCACTTCATGGGACATGTGGGGATGAAGCCGCACAAGTGTGAATACTGCAGCAAGGCCTTCAGTGATCCGAGCAACCTGAGGATGCACCTCAAGATACACACAGGTAGAGGATGGGTGGCGTGGCCTACACTCACATGTGCACACATATACACATTGACATGGGACCTCTGAACATAGCAGCTTAGCATTATCTGTGTCAGTCTCAGGGGTGCTTTTAGAGTAGTCAAGATATTATTGAAGTTGTTTTAAAAGACATGATGGTTCTACTGTATATCAGGTGATTATATGGTCTACATATGCTTCTTGTACAGGTTTTACTCACTCCAATCTCTTGTGCGCCCACAGGTCAGAAGAACTACAGGTGTAATGTGTGTGAGAAATCATTCACTCAGAAGTCCCACGTGGCGTCTCATATGGTGATTCACACGGGGGCCAAGAACTTCAAGTGTGACCTGTGTGACAGGATGTTCATCAGGAAGCAGGACCTCAAGCAGCACATGTTCACACATACACAGTAAGTTAAAACTAAACCCAAGCTATTGACATGAGTAGTATGCAAAACGTATCTGCTCTAGTTAATAGCCTGTAACCCAGGGCCCAAAGTTTCTGCTCAGGTCACATGGCCAGGGAAAACTACTGGACACCAGACGTAAGACATGTTGGTAAACATATTTTATAAAGTATCTGGATTTCCATCAGTCTATTTTCCTCTGTTCTTATCACCATTTCCCCTCCCCCTTCTATCCCTCTGGACTCTTTTCTCCACCCCTCTCCCATCATCATTCCTAACGCACAGAGAGCGTCAGATCCACTGCCCCAAGTGTGACAAACATTTCTTGAGGACCAACCACCTGAAGAAGCATATGAACTCCCACGAGGGCCGCCGGGACTACATCTGTGAGAAGTGTGAGAAGGGCTTCCTCACCAAATACCACCTCACCAGACACCTCAAGATCTGCAAGGGCCCCAAGACTAGCCGAGGGGCCCAGGAGGAGGAGGAGGAAGATGGGGAGGATGAGGAAGAAGAGGATGATGATGATGATGATGAAAAAATGTATGCACTCACTAACTGTAAGTCGCTCTGGATAAGAGCGTCTGCTAAATGAGACTGATAGATCCAGATAGCAGAGACTGTGGGTTAGAGGGATATGATTCTGAGAAACCGTTGTCGCCACACAATTGACTGTGACTTCACTGTGCCATTACTAGATATGTTTATTTATTTACTTATTTTTAACTGTTTGTTTGTTTTGCCAAAATCTAATTTGTTGTGTCAGGTTAAGGTTTATTTTCTCATCAAATATCAGTTTAATATTGGGCACAATCAAACAAGGATAATCCAGATTGGGATGTAGAGGTACTGTATAGGCTTCATGTTTTATTTCTTCAGGTTCATTTTCCTTGCCTGACGACTCATCCTGAATTTTATTCCGCTGTTCTATCATCGTTCCATACATCCATCCTAGAAGTCGTTTGTGCCGACTTCAAAATGACGTAATTAATGTAGGACGGCTCTGGCCCAACCCCATCGGTTTCTGGGACCAATCAGTATGTGTTTGCGTTCTCAAAGAGTCTGGGAGGAAAGCAAATCCAGACTCATCGTGGAGAAGACACGTTAGTGGGCGTGCTGTTTGGCCGGAGCGGTGTGACTGGGTAGCCAGGCAATAATTTTCCTATAAAAAGTTATCATGTTTGAACTCAAAAGACATGGCCTTTTAACCCACAATAAAAAAAATATATGTTTACAGTGGTCATCTCTTTATGGAATAGATACTGAGTTTGAGTTGGTCTCTGGATGCTGATGTTAGATGCTGGCTCTGCTGCTGGATGAATGTTGAAGAGGTACACATTGTGATGTGTCGGCCACTTCTTTTTGTATGTATGTGCAAATATATGAATAATGTTAAACGTCTGAATTTCTTATTGATTGTGATGACGTAACAAAATATTCCATTCCACATCTCATCTGTAACAAGGTGTTACCCAAACGACATCTCAGCAGCATGTTTTGAAAAGGTGCGGGTGTACGGAACGGAAGTAGTTACACTGCTCTAGAACATTACACTTCCGGTTGAAATACAACATTTGTGCAGCGCCGTTGAAGCGAACCGGGTGTGTATGAAATTTACTTTGTATTTACTCTATTCAATTACACTTATTGGTGGTATAGCTGACTAAGTAAAAACAAGTTAAACGAGTTGGTAAAACAAAAGTAATACTTTGCCAGCGATTCAGTGTTTACGTTAGCTAACTAACTGTTGACGTTAGCATGCTATGCTAGCCAGCAAACTGATTGCCAGAAGATACTGACCCTACCGTTACGCTTGTTTACACTGAGCTGCACTGTGGTAGGAAAGCAATCATGGTTACATTACCACACAGTGGACCCGGTGTGAGATATGGGTCGGAAAACGTAGCTCGATGCAGGGATGGGATAGGCCAGTGACACTACTCCAAAATGTACCATTATCCACACTGATACATTGAGAAGATTGAAACACTGTTAGTTTTCCCAGAAAACTGCCCTTTTCGGCTTCATGCCAGCTAGCAGTAGCGATTGCAGACATTTTGGAATTACAGTGTCAGGCAATCAGCTCCTTTGTTCAACATGATGTGCCATTCCATAATGGCTGCTGTGGCTGCTGCTAGCTAGCATGAGGACGAAAAGGGCAGTTTTCTTGGAAAACTAGCAGTATTTATATCTTCTCGATGGAGCAGTGTGGATAAAGGTAAAATTTGGAGTACAGTGGCATATCCCATTGCTGCGTTGAGGTACGTTTTCCGACGCATATCTTGCGCCGGCTCCATGGTGTCTTAATGAAACTAACCATGATTGCGTTCCGACCCCAGTGCTGCTCAGTGTAAGAAAGTGTAAAGGTAGGGTCGGAATCTTCTGAGTGTCAGACACACTGGTTTATTTAGAAACTAGCTAACCGCTCTGTCTGAATTTAGCAGCCGACAGTGTGACGTTATGTGGACATGACTCTGACGAAACAGGAAGACATGTCTACTCTCATCGACAGGACGATGAGGATGAGGAGGGAGGAGCAGGCGCGCCAGGTGGTCCTCGCCTGGGCAGTCCTCAATGTGTCGCTAGCTGGCATGATCTGCACTGAGATGTAGGTTGTGTTTTCTTGTCAACAACTGACTCGCATGATTAGTAATCTGTTGCTAATGCCTAACTAGAAGCAAGTGGTGCCAATACCTCGCACAGTAATATGTAAATTTTCCTCTCAGGTCAGGAAAACTGCTGAGCCTGTACTTCAACATCTCTTATTGGCCTATCTGGTACATAGGTGAGTGCTCTGCTGTGTAGTTCATCGAGAGAAATTAAGCATTGTTTTGGGAGGGAATGGCCAGGTGTGGCACTGATGCACACTGGTTCCAGATGAGCCATAACCTGTCAAATTCATATTATCTCTCCTTCCTTTTCCTTTCCCACAGAGCTGGCCTTTGCCTCAGTTTTCAGCCTCAACGCCCTGTTTGACTTCTGGAAGTACTTCAAGTACACCATGGCCCCCTCCACCATCGCTGTTACCCCTGACCAGCACCGCCTTCTTGGCCTCAGAAACTCAGGTGAGTCATTGGCTGCAAAGTGGTTAAGGTGATGGTGTTATCTATGAACCCCAAATACAGTGTATCCCTCTTGTACGTTTGTCTTTTTAAACTGCCCAAATCAATCAATACTATGTTGGTGTTCATCTCCACTCAGGTATCCAGGCGTCACCCCCGCTGAAGCAAGAGAAGCAGGAGGCTCAAGCCCCGGCTCAGTCGTCGCCCCTCCAGGGTCAGAGCGTGCTCAGCTTCAGTCCCTCCAGGCCGGCCAGCACCAGCCCCAAGTTTTCCCCCAGCTGTGTTCCTGGATACAGCCCCCTTTTGAGCAGCCCGTCCACCCCGGGCAGCGGGGGACACTTCTCCCCCTCCCTGGCCTTTGGAAAGGTCTGTCAGACTCACAATGCTCTCTGTTATCTTGCTATCAATCTGACGCATTTGTGGTTTGTCAATTAATCGGGTACACTAGAGGTGTTACTGTAACCATGGGCCGTATCTAGCTACCATTATCCTTTCAAGTTTATTGTGTTGTGGCTACCACTTTTTGGTTTTCCTTACTTGTCATGTCTGAAATCTACTGGCATGAAGACAGGGAGATCATGCGTTCCCATTTGTAACAGCTTTCTGTTGATTTCAGTTGAACTACAGCCCCCCCTCATCCTACCCCAGCAGCATTGGCCCAGTGGATGGCACCAGCCTGAGGGCACGCTACCGCACCTCTCCCTCCGTGTTCAACTCCCCCTGGGGGCAAGGAGGACTACATGGAGTCCCTGAAGACCCTGGACAGGTTCCTCCGCACCGAGGAGGAGAAGAGCCACCGCAGTCAGTTAGGTATGAGTGTAACGATGTAGCTTAGCTCTTATTACCATTTTCACAATGCGTTACTACTAGTGAAACTGGTCTGGATAAAAAACAGACCATGGCTCACTTGATAAAGAGATGTCAATCCCAATGTGACTTTCTTGATTAAATAAAGGATAACAAATAATAATGAACTCCAACTGAGCTTTTGTGTCTCAACTGTGAAGAGCATTATTGTAATATCCTGTATGCATCCTTTGACTTTCTCAGGGAGCCCAGAGTCGGTGTCGCCCTCCCACAGCCCCACATTCTGGAACTATAGCCGCTCGGTGGGGGACTACGCCCAGAGCCTGAGGAAGTTCCAGTACCAGCCGGCCTGCCGCTCCCAGGCCCCCTCAGCCAGCAAGGACGAGACGGACCTGGGCTCCAAACAGGCTGCTGAGGAGGTCCGAGGGATCAATCAATTCATCAGTCAATCAATAAAATAACTATTCTTTATATTACCAGAGGGAAATGGGTTTTCCTAGCAGGAATTTATTTTTGATCTGCAGGTTTGGGCCAGAATCACAACCAGTCGTCTCGTGGTGGACAGCATAGACAGCTGGATGGCCAAGCTCAGAAATGTAAGGAGATATAACAAGCTTAGAAGTAACACTGAAGCTCTGGTAAAATCTGGAATTTTGTTGGAGAAAGTGGTTGATAAGCGTGTAGTTTCTCTTTCTTTCAGTGGATAAATGACACCATTCTAGTGCCACTGGTGAAGGAGATGGACTCAGTGAATGGCCAGCTAAGGAGAATGGGCTGCTCTGAGCTCCAGATCGGAGGTATTTACTGCCCATATGCAATGGGGCATAATGGGAAATATAGTTTACTCTGGGCCGGTTATACTTACCCTGTCTGTCTCTACCACCCTATTCAACAGAAGCCAGTATAGCCAGCCTAAAACAGGCTGCTGTTTTGAAGGCCTCAGTCATCCCCACCATGCCTGCTATTGTGCAGTACCTGGACATCACCCCTAACCAAGAGTATCTAGTGGAGAGAATCCGAGGTAGGCCTATGAGAGGCAACACTGTAAGTCGCTTTGGATAAAAGCGTCTGCTAAATGGCATATTATTATTATTATATTATTTTGAATCCTTGCTTATTCACTGTGCTATATTCCTGTCATACTATATGTGTCCACAACTGACGGACCAATACATTAGAGCCAAAGCAGCTAAGATTCTAGAGAAATTTGAGTCAAACGTCATAAGACTTGATGAAAGCAGAAATGGACATATCATTATTGACAGTGTGTTTGTTTCCCCTTGTCAGAACTGGCCCATAGTGGCTGCATGAGTTCTTTCCGCTGGAACAGGGGCGGGGATCTCAAAGCCAGGAAGTGGGACACAGACCTCCCTTCAGACTGTGCTGTGAGTCTCATCCATCACCTCTAGTCTAGACCAAAAAAGTATGGTCTGACCTATTCCTGTCACTATGACGATAGTGAGAGGTCAACGTGGGGTGAATGCTCAAACATGTGTTGTGTTTTCTGTCCATTAGATCCTCATGCATGTGCTGTGCACATACCTGGACTCCCGACTCCCGCCGCACCCTAAGTACCCCGATGGAAAGACCTTCACCTCGCAGCACTTCACCCAGACGCCAGACAAACCTGGTAAGGCCAAGCAGCACAACACACACAGAATGGACATCGTTCTTCTTCTATTCTTTACTGATACCCTGTTCTTGTTTCTTGAATAGACGTGACGAATGAAAACCTCTTCTGCATTCACCAAAGTAGCACCAATCCCCCACACTACCAACTAATCTACCAGGGCCATGTCTACAGCCTGCCCAAGGTAAGAACCAATCTGTGCCTCTTTTGTCCCTATGGCCTATTTGGACATGCCTTTAGTGAGTGAGATGTATCTGTCAAAAACCACATGTGCTCCATTCATTTGAGTCCCCTCTGATTGTGCTCACAGGGAAGGAACAACCTGTTCCACACTGTTCTCATGTTCCTCTTCGTCATCAAAACCAAGGAGTCTGGGATGCTGGGGTGAGTACTCTCAACTATTCCACAGTAGAAATGTATTTAAACTTCCCAGTCCAAGGTGCCATCACTGATTCCAGATGGGCACTGTAATAAGCTCTTTGTGATAGAAATGTGCTGCTATGTCACTTTAGTAAAGGAAACTAGTCAAGACCACATTATATTGACAATCAATCTCTATGTAAAACATTAGTGTCTTAATTGCACATAAGTTGTACTCGTCTGTCTTTTTACAGGAGAGTAAATCTGGGCCTATCAGGTGTGAACATCCTGTGGATATTTGGGGACTGATGCAATCTATCTCTATTCTTGAGCATTTCACAGCAGAATGTCTCCAAGGTTTGTTTGTGAAACAATAAATCGTAGCTTCTGATAACAAGACTATTCTGTAGATGTTAGTTACCATAACTGTCCTCAGATTTAGGTTAAGGAAGCACTTACGAGAGTAACATTTTGTTGTACATTTGTTCAGTCATTTTTCTTAGAAACAGCAGACCACATTTTCTCAGTTTTATTTAATTTGAAAGTAGCTATTGTCATTTGTGACATTTTAAAATCAAATGATTACAAAGACCATTACATTTAGTTTGATATTATGGTTAATCAAAAACAACAGTACTGTATTTTAACTCTGCATCCACAATTGACTCCATTTTGTAAGTATTTTGCGAATGTATCAGGATAGTGTCCTTGTAAATAGTATACCACAGGTTTGTCTGGTGGATTGCATTGGGTTGAACCCTCCTGACTTGAATGTATGTTAGTGTGTTTTCCTTTTTTGTATGAATTGTTTGTGAGAGCTTGAATATTGCAGCTAGAATGCTTGAGTTCTTTCTTTTTGTTGAGTGACAGGCTTTGGAGTGGTAGTAATGTTACCCGCATAAGAAAGCATGCCTTTGTTTACTAGGGCTGCAGTTACTTGCATTAGCATGCACAATATGTCTATTCTAACTAGAAGTTTGTTCCACAATTCAAATGCTAGATACAAAGCCATGTACGTGGTATGCCTTTTCGAATTTCAAGATAATGGAAGGTTCGAAGTAAATTGCTGTTATTTTTATTGTCAAAATGTCTTTGCTTGGAGAATTCTGATGTATACTGGTCAAAGAGGTGCCTTTATGATAGGTTGTGTGAATGTCATTCATTTTGATAAAAAGGGAGGCTAATTAAAAACTGGTAAAGGGCTGCATGGACTTGTGTGGGCTCATGAGGACTCCAATGCACTCCAAACCCCCTCATTCAATAATTTTGAATTGTTTGTAGTGATGTGTTTTTCAATTGAGACATGGAAATAAACATAATTGATTGAATTCATCCGTCTATGATTGAAAGCATATTGATATTACCCATATGTTTTTATTAGAGTTCCTAGTTAGTCCGTACTCTGTTAATCACGTCATTGTTATCAATGCGGATAGATTGCGGCGTTAGAGCTCTAAATTACATTACCAGAGCCCACCCCATGGTGGCAGTATTTACTCAATATGAGAGATTTTTGGCTTTTCTTTGCTCCCAGAACCCATTTTCTCCAGATTGACATAATGAAATGTGCATTGAAAGAGGGGGTTGTCAAATGAAAGTTTTCCACTACTGAAATATTAATATTTTTCAAATGGCATTGTGCCATGCGATGCAGAACTGAAATGCTTCAAGTTACATACATACATTTCCATGGCGTTAATATCAAAATACAGTATAAATGTTTTATTACTGTAATGTCACTGGTTCATTTACTTTGTATTCTTGCTTAGAACTACGTGTGAGATTTAAAAAAAAAACCTTTATTTAACTAGGAAAGTCAGTTAAGAACAAATTCTTATTTACAATGACGGCCTACACCCGCCAAACCCGGACGACGCTTGGCCAATTGTGCGCCGCCCTATGGGACTCCCAATCACTGCCGGTTGTGGTACAGCCTGGAATCGAACCAGGGGGTCTGTAGTGATGACTCAATCACTGAGATGCAGATGTACAAATTCCTTTCCATTTCTTTATGAATGATCATACTGTATTTTTTCAGATATAGTCAATGTGGTTTGGATACAAGACTTGAATCAAATATGAAATCTCATCATCACATGAGTAACTGGCTATATATAATGTTTTGTAGTACTGCACTGATCGTCCTCGTTAAATACAAACGTAATCTACTTGAATGCATTTGAAAAGGTAATACTTCTTGGGAGATGTAGTTATGTACTGTTATCTGTCAAATTATTTGGTAAGGCTCTGAGTCAGTCATTTTATGTAGCTCGTCTATTTCCTTTTGTTTTGATAGTATCATAAATAGTGCTTGTATGGCATTGATAATTTTAACATTTCCACTAAATGTTTAGTGAGACTCTTGAAAACTACAAGGACCACAATGCCTTGCTTATAATCAGTACTCCGCCACTCACAATCCGTCGCCTTGTTATGTGTTGGGAAAAGGACATCGCGAAATAGCAGCGATGTCAGTCCAGGTTTTGGCAGCGAAAATGGCCGAGGTCGAATTAAAAGACGTCCCCAGCAAAGAATTAACACCCGAATCGCCTCTGACGCCAAAGGCAGATGACAAAGGGATAGTTGAAAACGAACCAAAAGCTATCGTTACTTCGACTACTACCCCAACGATGGAGCCTATCGTAAAAACCGGGGACCCGAGCCCTGGTTTTCTTACCCCGAACCCTAAAATGCCGCAGGCGTCCGCGATGAAACGGACAGATCCCCAACAAAACGGTGGAGAAGCGTTCGTAAATCGTGACGGTACTGTGGCAGAGGCCCCAAGATTGAAAAAGGTGAGGGGGAACGTAAATGGGATTTTGGCATTTATTATGGTATTCTGCTTGGTGCAGATGCAAGGTTTTTTGGTTTGCAATGCTAACTAGCTAGCCAGCAAGCTAGAAATGTGGTATTGTGTGACGATGGCTGTAACTCAAAGCTAGCAATAAAAAGCAGATTTGCTGCTGCCTGACTTGTCTTGGTCGCTAGTCAGACAAGTCGTTTTATAAAGCTTATCAGTAAGTAACGGCAACGTTAGCTATATCATATTTGTAAGGGTATTGTGTTTATAGGAGCAGCCACATATCCTAGCATACATACTGTCTAAAATGATGGCTGTAACTTGTCGGTGCGCTGTGAGAAATGCCAATGTTGGGACAACAACGTGTATATGTAGCTAAACTAGCAATGATGCTGTGAACAAAGTAGCTGGTCTTGAAGTTTAATTCTACCTGGTGATGGTTTTGTTGAAGCGTTTCAACACTCACGCCCATATCAACATTTTGTCCTGACAACGTAATAATGGGATGGACACAGGTTCATCAAAATGTTGGTTTTGTTGCCACAATGTAACTGTTAGCTAATGGACATTTGACACATTTACAACCATGGCAATACAACTAAAACATCATTAGTCAAATCGTGGTGATGGTCATGGTAGTCAAATACATTCAACAGACTGTTGTAAGACCTTATTTAAATGCTGTTCAACATGCTGTGAGATTATCTGAATTTGCATGGGGGTTCTCAGCTGTATGGTGGTGAGTCTGATCAGGAAAGAAGCAGCTTTGAAGGCCAGTTAGGCTACATCACCTTATCACAATTTTTCGCCACTGCTCCAGTTTAACCTCACCACAACAGTAGTAGACTCATCTGACTCGTCTGTCGCTCCTTTGTCACCTATTTCTTATCTCATTCAGCCTGGCAATAGATCACATAGCCTACTTATGGGAGTTTCCATCATTCAGGCATAGTCTGCTAGACTCTCCAGCGGCTATACATCACCCGAAAGATTTGGGCCTATGTGTGTTCCCTGTCTCAACACCTCTTCGTCAGGAGCGGGTTGGCAAAGCTCTCAGCTCAATGAATCTAATCTCCTCAGCGTCATGGAAAGTTATGATCTGAACAGAAGAGAATAATGGGATCAAGGTTCAATGAACTTCTCTAAGTAATTCCTTGAAAAGACTGGTGTTGACTAGGCCTAAGAAGTCTCATGATAAATGGTTATTTATGATTTATAGCCTGTGATTGCTGTCATAAAGCTATTAATCAAAGGTGTTCAAATCAATGTTGTGAAAGGCAGTTCATTTGCAGATGGCAATGAAATTATGTGCTCTCTTCTTCAGGATATGAAGTAGGGTCATAATTGGGTGTACAACATTACAGCAAATGCCAACTTGTTATGTGTCCAAGTTTGTGCAGACCCTCCCTAAAACATAGATTGGTTTATAGCAGTGATGTAATTCCTTGTCCCCAAATAGGCAACAGATCTGACAGAACACCCTCACACTATTCTGCCACCAAGCCAGTGACTATGAACACAGGACTGGATAATAACGGTCACAGAGAGAGAGAGGGAGTGAAAGTGGACTGGCTTTCGACAGATGGTCCATCAGCCCTCTCTGTGTACCATAAGAGCAGCAGGACCAGGAACCCTATGAGCAGCAGGGAGAGGAAGCTACTGTATGGCATCTCGCTCGTTGTGGTGACTTGTCCTTAAAGGGACCACCGGCAATACCTTTATGAGAAGATTTAGTGCCGTTAGTGCCGTCTGCCATGGCACAGATTCAGTATTCTGTTTTATACATGTGAGCTACTTAGACTGCTTTTTGAACAACACAATCACTTTCTGAAGGGGGAAACATATTTTATACCGGCCAATAAACGCCACCCATTGCACTTGTTTTGTATCCGCTCACTTCACAATCATCTGAGCAGCAATGCATTGGAACAGGAACGTGCATGCAAAGTTTTAGGCCTATTTATAGGCTGCATGCACCTGTGTTGTGCAGTGTGTTGTGGATATAGGCTGCATCTGTTGAATCCCCCAGTGCAGAAAGGGCTGTGAGATGGAGAGCAGCAGTAGAGTAGAGCTGATGGTATGTGGCATGGATGGCTGGTTTTAATCCATGCCTTACCATGTCACCACATGGGGGATTAAGCGGCTTGCCTCCCACTCTAGGCGGGCAGATGTTAGCCTTCGGAACGGCTGAGTGATCCGTGTAACCCCCGACGGACTCTGCCATCCTGTCATGATGTTTCTGGACGGAGCGGGGAAATATACGCTGCCCCTGCCAGGATGAACGGATTAGCAGCGGTAGGTTTCAGGTTTAGGCGCCATGTGTGGCTAAGACGGCTGCTAATGAATGTACCCATCCTCGCTCCAAACATAAGCAGTGCCAAGTTACAGATGCTGACGACTGCCAAGGGCTCTCTGGTCATTCTCTGTCCTACTCTCTGACCCAATGAAAAGGACCTCCAGCATGATAAGGTATTTTCATTAAGCTGGAGGTCCTAGTAGGGGTCACTAG